CCGCGCTGCATAAAAACGTAGGTCACCAGCTCGGGTCTTTATTTTATTTTTTTCAGCTTCAGGTAGTGGCTTGAGATTGTCTGTGTTCATCCCACTTATCAAGTCCAGTGTGTGTGTGTGTGTGTTTTTATGGAGTGACCGACCGGTGGACGGAGGGAGGGAGGGACAGGCTGAAATGCTTCCTTCTTAACGTGACTTTTGTGACAATCTCACGTCTGTGAGCGCAAAGCCACTCATTCTCTTAAGAATGTGTTTGTGTTTAGGGAGCCAGGTCTGTGATGTGTGTGCCACGCGCAGTCGAGTTCACTGGTTATTTCAACTACTGTCCTTACTCCCTGCAATAGACGACTGACCGACTCGGACACTGAATGGGGTATTGCAAGTGGTTGCGTCGACAAGAAGAAGGTTCCCCCAAATCACAAATCAGGGAAGACGGTGTTGGTGGATAGAGCTTTACTGCCGGAAGATGAACGGTATAAAGGCTATATTACGAGCCAGCTGCCAGCTGCACACCAGATTTGTCCGTGAGCTTGTGTCCGCTGCTGCGAAGCCCTGAGTGCGGAGTATGCCCTCAGTCAATCAGGCGGCCCGACGTGCATCGATTGTTTCAAAGTAACATGCACCTCAGGAAGCGAGTCACCGGGGCTAGCTGAAGACAGGCAGCAATTCGCGGGCCTCTCGGAACGATTGACATAGAATGTGCGGGGGAGTTTGTCACATGTGATTACACAAAAAGTTGGCTAGAGAGGAGAGGATGAGTCAACGCAGCAGTATAGAGTGCAGGCTACCACAAGGGCATGGACATGGGAATAGAGTGATATCGAAATCTCGGGTTCATGTAGAGTGATCGACTGGCAGATTGCTCGCCAGGCTGCAATATTTCATCCTTAAAGTGGCTTCTAGCGACCGCCGTACTGTGGGATACGAAGTAGTCCGGTCGGCTAATAGAACATGGATTTATTCCAAAAGTTATAAACCAGTAAATAAGGAGATAAGACGTGAGAGGCCAGAGTGTTAGGAATAGCTTAATTAAGTACAGAAGAAGTAGAGTATTGATAAGAGGAAATTGACTCTTGGACGAGGGCAGTCCAGCTGTGAGCGAGCCGGGTCTGGAGCCGCAGTCCGGCAGTGAGGTCGCCGGGTCTAAGAGTCGTTGCCTGTCGGGCCAGTCCGAAGTGGCGA